ATTTTAATAAGATAATTATAATAATTAGAAATTGCTTGTTTCATATTTTAACCATGCTCAAACTTTTTAACTAAATGTAATTCACTGCAAAAATGTATTTTATTCCTCAGTATTTTTGTCTCGTTTTCTAGAACAAATATCAAAATATCAAATCAGGATACATTTACTTGAGAAGCAAAATTGCAAGTCTTGTTTTCTGAAGAAGAAAAAAAGACATTTTGAAACGAGAAAAATATCTTAACTCAAAGGGAAAACAAGATAGTTTTTCTTGCCCCATTGGCCCAAGCAAAAACGTAACAATTTAAATAACGTTTTCAGAAAACAAGACTTACTATCTTAAGCCACTTTGCTTCTAAAGTAAATGTATCTTGATTTAAGAATGTTTAGATGTTTGTACTAGAAAACAAGACAGAAATACTAAGTAAGAAAATTATTTTTTGCAGTGTTGTTTTTACAATTTACAGATTTATGATGAGTATACTCAATTCGAATAAATGCATTGATTGATTTATTATTTAAATAAAACCAAATAGATGCAAATAGTTGATAATAAACAATGGCTGGTTTTAAAATCCATAAATCTGACCTGTTTCATTAATGTTTGACAAACAAATATGCATCACATAAAGTTTATTAGTTTATGTTAAAACTGTGTCCAAATGCATATAAATTATATATGCATCTCAAAACACATTAAACTCTAGATTTAGGCCTAAATCTTTTTTTGAGTGCAACCCCCTACCGACCCCTTTATCAAGATCAAAACCCACACTCTCTGCTACATTTGAGAAGATATGAACAACATGCATCATATATCATCAGTGTGTCCAGAGAAACTTCATGTCACTAACGCCACAGATGGTTGTGTCTCTTGTGTTGTTCTAAGGTCTCTGCATGGTAATGACATCTCAGAGCTGCCTGATGGGATCTTCAACGACGCTGCATCGCTGTCACATCTGTGAGTAAAGAGTCCAAACAAATATGAAGCTAACATGTCTGTGTGGCCAAACGCTGCCTGTTATAAAACCGCTCCAAAATCGTGTCGGATGAAGTCACTGAAGCTGAAGTATACACACACGTGTGAGGTGCATAACATGAATTCTGTTCTGGCAATAGGTGATTTCTGATTGATAAGAGAGATTGTTAACAGCCTGCAATTAGTCTAATGTGCCATGAGCGATTTTACGTGGCAGAATAATGATTAATAGTACTAAATGTGATTATATATTCTAACATGTCTGTGTGGCCAAACGCTGCCTGTTATAAAACCGCTCCAAAATCGTGTCGGATGAAGTCACTGAAGCTGAAGTATACACACACGTGTGAGGTGCATAAGATGAATTCTGTTCTGGCAATAGGTGATTTCTGATTGATAAGAGATTGTTAACAGCCTGCAATTAGTCTAATGTGCCATGAGCAATTTTACGTGGCAGAATAATGATTAATAGTACTAAATGTGATTATATATGGAATATTGCTGCATTTGATCATATTGCTAATTGGCACATTTTATAAAAGCATTAAGCCAAATGTGAGTGTGGGTTGCTGGGATGTTACCATGGACATTTTATTTTACAAATCCAAACTTCACAAATGTCGTGTGGGTTTGAAACGACACGAGGGTGAGTAAATGATGACCGAATTGTCCTTTTTGGGTGAACGATCCCTTTATTTCTGGTAGAATCACTGTAATGCGCAGCCTCTTGTGCTAGTTGTCTTTATTTTAGGGGAGTTGAATAGAATTCAAACACTCTTTGTTTGGCCATTGCAACAGCTCTGTGTTTAGGACGTCTACAGCGCCATCTAGCAGCAATGATGATGTAAACCAGGACACAGAGTAAATGAGGACAGTCTCTCTGAAACTTCTCCATTTCCATTTTCATAGAAGACATTAGGGTTCCTTGAAGATATAATGTTGTATCAAGACTGGCTGATCAATAGATACTAAGAAAATACAATTTTCCTATCAATGTGATCAAATGTTGCGTTGCAAAGATGAGTACAAAGAAAAATGGTGCAAGTTAAAGGCCATTTTTGATGACTGTGAGTATTTTGAACCAAACCATTTAAATAGTAATTTCTTGACAGTTGAAAGTGTTACATAGCTCATTAAATCATTCTCAGAAAACAATGCAACCACTTGGGAGAGAACTGTCAGGAGACTTATTTCATTGCACAAAAGAAGACAATGGAGCATGCATTTAAAAACAACGGACTTGTTACAATGTTCCTGAAATAATCAGGCCTTCACTTTAAGCTTTCATTTCGTGATGAGTGAGTTTTGCTAAGAAAAGAGCAGGAAAATGCCAAGCAAGTGTCTCCGAGCGGGCAAAAGCTTCTATATGAGAACAGTGGCTGTTTCATCTCGCACAGCAATACACAACCTGGAGGATTTCATAGAGACAGATTGAGCACCACTCTCCATTAAAGACCAGGGCAGTTCAGGAGGTGGTCCTAACAGGATAGATGTGATCATTTGTTGTAAACGTGTACACTCAGTGCCAAGAAGAGCTGTTTTAAAGTAATGGAGCACATACTATGACTAAAATATTACAATTTCTTAAAATGTATTCAAAGTTGTACTCATTTTTGCAACCTTGCATTTAAGCCAAATTGGCTAATTTACTTGTTGTACAGAGAGGAGTGACATTTTTCAGTTTTTATTAAATATGTGTTTAATGAATTTACATTTTTATTCTTTCCATAGTAGTAATAGTGATCGTTAAGAAATAGATGTATATCTATGTACTCATTTATGCTGTGTGCTGTCCATTGTAGACAGGGCTTGTTCAGTGCATCTCATTTTGGCTGTCTAAAACAGTCTGCATTTGTTTAACGCTGGATCGTGTGTGATTGCTCTCAGAGCGATTGGTGCAAACCCTTTGCACTGTGACTGCCGCCTGCGCTGGCTCTCTGACTGGGTGAAAACTGGCTACAAGGAGCCTGGCATCGCACGCTGTGTTGGACCGCACGGCATGGAGGGGAAATTACTGCTCACCACGCCTGCCAAGAGGTTCGAATGTCAAGGTAAGATGCATGAATGGAATGACGACTAAGGTTAAAGAAAAGTCCATGAAATGCATTGGTTTTGTAGACCACAAATACATAATTGTCTGCCCTGCGTCTCATCAGGTATTAATAACCATGCAATGACTGACATGGTGGTTAAATAATCTTGTGTTACCTAAGATTTGTCCTTCATACCTCGTCAAATCTGTTCTACAAGTCTTTGCTCTGAGAAAGACACACTCAGATTCCCGTTGTACTCTGGATGATTTTTGAGGGATTTTATTCGCCGTCTGTCAGGCTCGTGTGCAGTAAGGGTCGTGTTTCTGTGTGTGCAGGTGAAGTGGACACTGCTGTACTAGCGAAGTGTAACCCGTGCATGTCTAAGCCCTGTCTGAACCACGGCAGCTGCGAGGCCGATCAGACGGACGGCTACAGGTGTCGCTGTTCAGAGGGTTTTAAGGTGAGCACACAAAACACGAGCAATGTGAATCCTGATAGACGGACATGAAACGTTTACACATTTCCTTTCACACACAGGGCAAGAACTGTGAGACGGCGCTCAACACTTGTGTCAGTGAGCCCTGTAAGAATGGAGGAGCATGCCACATGTCCGGAGAAGAGGATGAAGACTTTAGGTGAGTCTCAACATCTTTTCCTTATCATTTATTAATGTGTGAAGTGGTCGAACGCATGCATTAAATGCTTATTTGTTGTGCCAAATTCAATCTATTTTCATTTTAAAAACCATTGTGTCTGTGTCGATTGTTCAGAAAACAATATCAGAGGGGGGGGGAACGTATTCTTCTAAAATAAGCTGCAGAAACAGTTATTTCTTATATTCTATGTTTTGCTTTTGGGGTGAAATTTGACCTGGAAGTCTCATGAAATTCATTCTCAATGCTTAGAAAGCTTGATCCCCATTTCAAATGACGCATTTGTGTTTTCTCAGCTGTTCATGTGCTGCAGGCTTTGAAGGTCCCACATGTGACACTGACATAGACGAGTGTAAAGACAACGACTGTCAGAACGGAGCAACCTGCATAGATGGGATCAACAATTACACGTGTTTATGTGCCCCTTTTTACACAGGTACATGTGTTACTACTTCCTGAACACATACATTAATGTTATTTGTTTTTTTTTATCAAAGCTGCACTTTATTTCGATAGTCCCCTTTAGAAATTCTACTAACTACAAGTAAATTTTAAACTACAGTACACGTTAACTGTTATGGTTAGGGTTAGAATAAGCTGACATGTAGTTGCAAAGTTACTTATAGTTAGTAGAATTTCTAAAGTGGACTATCAAAATAAAGAATTACAAGACAAAGAATTTTCGGTTGCACTTTATTTTACAATATGTGTGTAATCACAATGTACTTACCTAAGAAAGTACTGGTAACTGGTAAGTACTGGTAAGGTAACTATATGGGTTAAAGTTAGGTTTAGGGGTAGGTTCAGGGTTAGTATCTAGTTATTCACTATAATCACTATAATAAGTACATAGTAATATGTACATGTGGAACAGGACTGTAAAATAAAGTGCTGCCAATTTTTCTTTTCCCAAACTCTTGTAAGGACATAGTTATTACACCAGACTTACGGATTGCACTGTTTTTGCATGTGTGTAGGGGAGATGTGTGAGGATATGGAGGACATGTGTGCTTCTACTCGCAGTCCCTGCAAGCACCAGTCCACCTGCTTCATCACAGTCACTAGCCCAAAGTAACCACATCTCCTTTGACCTAGTAGCCGAGTAACAGCCTTTTTATTAACCAAATGCTCAATTGTTTTTCAAAGAGCTCTGTAATGGTTACATGTGTTTGATTTAGGTGTATATGCGCACCTGGTTATGTGGGTGACGACTGCAGTGTGAACTATGACGACTGTAAGGAGCACAGGTGTCAGAATGGGGCACAGTGTGTGGACGAGGTTAATGGATACTTCTGCGTTTGCCCCGAGGGCTACAGGTCAGTTCTATACACCAATCTGACATTTTAACATCTGTGGAGTGAACCCCAGTTCATCAGTGATCCAGAATTTCACTTCATCTTTTGATAGACTGAAACTAATGTCAGACGATTTGAACTGTTTTTTTTTTTTTTTATTATTATTTTCTATTAACTAAATACATTTTGCCAACCAGTGACCAATTTTTTTAGCAGTGTACCTTAATCACACACTGCCTCATCATGCACCTTGGAGTTTCTTGTGACAGAGGTAGAAAGCACTCGTTATCCCTGCGGAGATACTGTGGAGATTGCCCTGCCACCTCTCATCACTGTCTGTCGTCAAACCCACGAGATACTAGGGGTTGCAACGACTAATCGACTAGTCGACTTCAATGCTCTGCCATGACGTTTTAAGCTTGATGTCGACTAGTCGCTGGTCCTATAGAGGGCGCAACAGGATAAGAATTATTTGAAGGACTTCCACATTTACGCTCAGTTTGCAAACAGTTCAAATGACATAAATGCATACTCTGAAAGTGCTCCACAAGACATGTGTGATTATATTACTGGATGCTCGAAATTGAACGGTAGAATGCACGTTTTAAACAGCTTATTGTACAGGTAAGGTAATTGCCGTTCAAATCTAATGCGCTGCTGCACTGTAACGCACACACATTACAGACAGCAGCGCGTGCATCATGCAGTCACAGAATCATTCAGCGCGGAAATGTGGTCAACACTGTTCTGGGATTTCTCAATAAAATAGCTTAGAAACTGAAAAGTTCAAGCATATATTTCTTAATAACTAAATCCCACAGCTTCACTACTAGCAGAGAGACACTGCCAGGTAGAATTAATTCACACACGCAATCATTCTCACTAATGCATTCATATGAATGTAATCTTTACTGTGCTGCTTTATCTGTATCTGATTTAGAATGAGCAGAAATCTGTGAGAATTATAACGACCCAAAGACAAAAGAACTGATAAAAAAGAGCTGTTACAGGAGCAATAGCCATGTGGGCAGCGCTGTGTCATATGCCATAGCTGTGCACAAGCTATTTATCACAGCTCCAGACTTATTTGTTTATTAATGACGTCATTAGCGACTAGCTCGACTCAACTTTCATCGCATAAAAGTCGACTTCAAAAAATCAGAAGTCGTTCAACTCAGACAACACTGCAGCAGACTTTTAATTCTGGAGGGATTTGATCTGACTCAGTAAGTGAAGTTGAGGATGTGTTGACGTGGAGTGCACTTTTCATGTTACTCCTACATCTCCGTAGGATGAATGGCTTTTGCTGTGGTATTACCCATTCATAAGTCATGTTGGATAAAAGTTGTCTCAGTTGAGTTTTTGAGCAAAAGTTCAACTTTCTCTTACTCTTTTTGTGCTCACCATTATTAAACTTGAAATACACAGATTAAGATCATTTGGGAACTCACTTTGCATTCTGTGATTGTTGTGATCCTAGGTGGCAATTTCTCACAATTCATCTAGATACCCGAGGTAATCTTAACTGGAATTTAAATCTAGTTGCTTTCATTCATCCAAATACTATCAGTGGGAAATATTCATTAAATGCAGTTTGGTTATAACATTTGATTTGATTTGATTTATTCTTCAACTAAGTCACAACAGTCTAAGGACTTAAAAACTATGTTGATGTGTATATGATATGGAAAACACTCAACAAGAAACAAGTTGTTGTGACAAAGTTCAGATTAAATTTTATGACCAATTCATGCAGAAATCCAGTTAAATCCAAAGGACTCCAAATATATTTACATAGTTTTAATGTTTAAGAAATAGAATTCTGACCTATGCCTTTCAAACTGCAATGTCCAGAGTAGTCACTACAAAATAGACCAGTTACAATTATGGCATTTTGACTGACAAGTCATAAATAATTGTGATTATCAAATTAATTGTTTCATTCATGTCTCTTAGTGTACAGCCTAATACACATACACCTCAAGAAGTCATTTAGTTACTGAAGTTGGAATCATGTCCATTCAGGTACTGTACAAATAGACATAAAAAATGTGCAGAGTTGGAGCTATTCCAGGACCAGGGTTGAGACTGTTTTAGATGTTTCCCTTATTTGACACACCAAATTCAGGTAATGGATCACTCTACCAATGAGCTAATCCGTAGAATCAGGTGTGTCAAATAATCAGCATAAGGGATCCCTCCAGTTTCAGGATTGAGAAACACTGGCCGAAGGCAACACCATCACTTTATCAGGGCTTTCAGAAATTGTGACACAAGCTCGCAAAGTTGCTGAGAATTCTTACCACCTAGTAATTATTAGTCATGAAGCCCAAGACTGGGGAAACTGATGAATTACCTTGAAAGCATTTCAAGTCGGTTTAGAATACATTTTCATTTATATCATGTTCATTCCTGAGCCTGTCTGGTATAACTTCAATTTATTGGCCAAATAAATATCGCCAGACAGAGTTTGCAGAGTTTAAAATAAACCAACACATCACTTCAGCTACCACTCTAGAAACTCCATTGTACTGCTAGGCGACTTCAAAGAACATGTTTGTGACGATGGCGAAACCCAGAGAGGAGTGATTAGGAGGGATGGCCTGCCTGATCTAAACCCGAGCAGTGATATGTTATTGGATTTCTGGGCTGCGTCTCCCGATAACGGTGTCTTTTAGCGCGCTACGAAGACTCTAAAGATACACCTTAACTAGGGGTATACCTTTCCTAGGTGTGTTCCCCGAACTATACCTTAGGATGTTGCTTAAGGTAAACCTTCTTACGTGCGACGTTAGCAGGTGCTGTCCATGGCAGTGGTGCTGAATAGGTTGATATCGATGACTCTAGAATCGATTGTTCACTACAGGAGTTCTTTCACTGCTTTATAGAGCACTATACTGCTCTTCGTGACTTGGCCATAACAAACACCATGTTCATTCAAACATAAGGTTGTTTATAAGAATGTAATATTGTATCATCTGACTTGTTTTGGACACAGGTAAAGAGAGGAGCAGAGCTGTCAACTGATCATGACCGGATAATGAGTTTGGTTAAATAGCAAGGTAGCTGCCAGACAAAACCAGGAAACCTAAACAGACTGTCAGGGTGAACTGGGAATGTTTGGTGAAGGCTCTTGTCCAGAAGATGTTTAATTCCCACCTTCAGAAGTGCTATTCCTTTTTTCCCAAGGAGGCTGAAGACATGGAGTCTGAGTGGACACATTGGTAGACGCAGGTGGTGATGAAGTCTGTCAACCTGAAGATGGAGGTCTTTCAGGAATGGTTAACCTTCTGGGTTGATTCGGATGACTGGCCACAGTAGTTGCAGAGGCAAAAAAGCTCAGAGAAACCATTGCTAAATACTTTTGGTCAGCCTCAAAGAGGTTATGGCAAACCATCAGACGGCTTATGCAGGGGAGGCATTGTCTGGTCCAGGCTATTGTTAATGAGATATCAGTCTGAGTCTGAAGGTGGAAGGAGCACTTTGAACTTCTGAACCCAAAGTAAATGTCACCTATTCTGTTTGTGATATTTATGGATGGGATCCCAAGGCACAGCAGAGGAGCAGAGAGTTTCCAGGTGGAGAGCTGGGCATTTATTAATTGTGACCTTGAGTGCACACTTGCCTCTTTGTCCTCTTTAGGTAGGAAATGAGTTGCCTCCGCATGAGACTGCTGGGTGGATCAGGGCACTGGCAGGAGTAATGCGGTCATTATACTGGGCTGTAGTGATGAAGAGTAAAGTTGAGCATGTGGGCAATGCTTTCAATTTACAAATCAGCCTATGCTCCAACTCTCATCTATGGTCATGAGCTTTTGATAGTGACCAAAAGAACAAGATTGCGGGTCCAAGCAGCTGGAATTACCCATTTTTGGTCCTTGTTTGTTTTACAGTGAGTATGTACTTGCTGTTTGCAGTGCAAATGACTATTACGTTAGATTATTAGGTGATGGCACTGTGGGTCTTTTTGTGCCTGCTTCGAATGTCTTAGCTGCCCACAACTTCTCCCTATAACAACTTGTGGGGTTCCAGTGGTGTTTTTTTCTGTTGTCATCTTTAAGATACTAGGGACTTTAAGCAACAGCCACGTTGACGTTGTATTGTGCATGCGTGACTTTAACAGCTGCTTCTTGATGTTTTACTGTAACCGTCTACTACGGGAGAACAGCTGGTTTACCGTAGTCATTACAATGTGACAGATTCGGTAAGTAAATGTTACGTTATATGGTATATAACACTGTAATTGCATCAGTATGTGGTTCTACAATTTGTCTTTTATTTAATCTGTGTTATGTTTTAAAATTAAGCTACCTTTTAACGATTTTTTTTTTAGTTTGTACAAAGATATGTCTGCTGTTAGTCACAACACCTCAGGTAGCACTGAGACTAGAGATTATGTGAAGTGAACAATGTAAGTATTGCCTAAACATCCTCCTCATAATGCTTTATAATACTTCAGCAAACGACTGAATGCCGTGTTGTGCCGTCTTGTTTACGGTTGCTTAGTGATTTTTACGTTCCTGGCTACGGCAGTGTAACAGCTTACTTCCATTCCATTCGAAGCTGTTGCTTAAAGTCCTTATTGTTTGATTGTGTGCCTGCCATTATATTCAACAGTCAGTACGTTTACATGGACAACAATACTCCGATTTTAATACGATTAAGACAATACTCTGATTAAGATTCTATCATGTAAACAGATTTTTGATTACCTTAATCCGGCTAAAGTCATAATCGAAGTAAACACTAATCGAATTAAGACATGTAAACACCTTAATCGCATTTTTACCGTCGTGTAGGACTTCTTGCTGCATTTTGCGACAGGATACACACATGGCAGTGCTCAACTGTTTGACGGCAAATAAAGAGCTTCATCACCTCCATCGTCTGTATGCACGTACAAATAATTAACTGCACTAAAATTAAAAATGAAACACCCAAAACTATACATGGCGTCATCACGAAGACGAACTATATGTTTATACGTGAAATTCCGGAGGGAGCATCGGCTGGCATGGCATGGGGACGTAATGACGTGTGCCATAATCAAACTATGTACTATAAAATGTAAAACGGGAACATGAAAGGAATATTCTAAAAGCCACTCATGTAAACTCCATAATCATAATATTGGCTTATTTAGAATAAGGTAAATAATTAGATTACTGATGTCCATGTAAATGTAGTCAGTGATTCAGACCTTCGGGTGTAAAGACCCAGACAATTGCAGTGTGTGCCTCTTTTCATGCAGCATCTCTTACAAATGCTCACTCCAGCCAAAGAACATGCATGACAGAGAAAATCACAATTAGATTTGAGATGATCAAACTGACCTGAAACATTTTGTGTGCAGTGGACAGCTTTGTGAAGTCCTATCTACTCTGCGCTCCCTCTGCGACCTGGCTGACTGTCAAAACAATGCCCCCTGTGTGGAGCGGGGGGGGCATGCACTGTGTCAGTGCCTGGAAGGGTTTGGTGGACCATGCTGTGAAAAGTTGGTCAGTGTCAATTTTGTGGACCGAGACTCCTACCTGCTACTGAGTGACCTGCAGAACTGGCCTCAAGCTAACATCACGCTACAGGTATTCAACAAACCTCAAACTTTAAACAAACACTGGATGAAATTTGCCAGTGTTATTGTATAACATCTTTCACATGGCTTGCATCATACAGAACTAGTAAAAAACTAGTAGAAGCGCTTTATAACAGGTCACCAGTGTAGCAATGAGGTCCATTTCTTGGCATTGGCAAACTAGGCTGTCACTGTGGTCAGGTTTGTTCTGTTCATCTACTGATGATAGATGATCTATTTTGGTTCTGTTCTCAGGTGTCCACAGCAGAAGACAATGGCATTCTTCTGTACAATGGGGACAACGACCACATTGCTGTGGAGCTTCATGAAGGTCATGTTAAAGTCAGCTATGACCCTGGCAGCCAACCAAGTCATGCAATCTACAGGTGATCTGGAGTTTTGAGCTGTATTTTTATATATATATTTTAAATTCAAATTAAATGTTGGCATGCAGGAATATTATTAATTATGAAGATCACTGATCACTACATTTCATTTTCAAAAGATCAAGTCATTTGGTATTTTCCACTCAGCAGCTGACTACAAATGAAACGTTTATAAAGCTTCAATGCAATTTAAATTTCACATCCGATATCTTCCATGCTTGTTTTACACACAGTACTGAGACCATCAATGATGGTCAGTTCCACACTGTAGAACTGGTGACCTTTGACCAGATGGTGAACCTTTCAATAGATGGTGGTATCCCAACAACCATGGACAGCTTTGGTAAAGTGCAGCCCTTGAGGGGAGAAGCTCCACTATATGTGGGAGGTAGGAGTGCACCAAGGACATCTGCCACCATCACAGCTACCATAATTGTACAATACTGTCAATCACCACTGTGCACCCATGAACCTACTTAGACACGACACATCCTCTCCGCTCTTTTGCTCTTGAACTTTGCTAGAATAACCAAACCAGTATACCAAGCTTTTTCAAATCCAGTCCTGGAGGGGCCACTGTCCTACAGAGTTTAGCTCCAACCCTTATTAAATCCACCTACCCGTAATTTTCCAGTAATCCTGAATACCTTTATTGACTTGTTCAGGTGTGTTTGATCAGAGTTGCAGATGATCTCTGTATATGACAGTTGACCTCAAGGAGCAGGATTTGCAGAGCGCTGACATAAACCATTAATGGTAACTGAATTTATGTGGCATCAGTGTTTTGTTACATGTGTCCCACTGGTCTCTTCCCAACTCTGCCTTTACAAAATGTTCTCACTGAATCAGGCATGCCGGTCAGTGTCCACCCCACACCTCCCCGTGTCTGGCAGATCCAAAACAGCTCCAGTTTTCATGGCTGTATTCAGAACCTTTACATCAATAATGAGCTGCAAGACTTTACCAAAACCCAGATGAAACCTGGTGTGGTGCCCGGATGTGAGCCCTGCCGAAAGATATACTGCCTCCATGGTATTTGCCAACCCAACACCGCCACGGGCCCTGTATGCCACTGCCAGCCCGGATGGAGTGGGCAACACTGTGACCAGCCTTCGGCGAACCCCTGCTTGGGCAGCAAGTCAGTCAAATTCTTGAGGTGAAATATGCAGACTGGACTGAGGCGCAACATGTCATACCTTAATTCATTCATTCACTTTGCACAGGTGTGTCCACGGGAGATGTATACCAATGGACATGCAGTCGTACCGCTGTGAGTGCCAGGAGGGTTTTCATGGTGCCCTGTGCAACCAGCAGGAAGAGCTCTTCAATCCATGCAGAAATCTTCAATGCAAACATGGCCACTGTCAGTTATCTGACACAGGAGATGCCTACTGTCATTGTGAGATGGGCTACAGTGGAGAGTTATGTGACAAGGGTAAGAAAACATAAGCACAACCTTCAGACATATGGTCATTGTCAAACATTCTGTTTCTGATGAGATAAAGCATGGATAGCTCCTTTACTATTATGAAATTAGTTTTTTATGCTATTGGATGAGTAACTGTCCATTGTCAATTTGACTTTCATGTTGTTTTAGAGTCTGAGTGCCACGGGGAGTCAGTGCGGGACTTCTACCAGGTCCAGCGCGGTTACGCCATCTGTCAGACCACACGCATGGTGTCTTGGGTGGAGTGCAGCGGTTCCTGTGACACCGGCTCCTGCTGCACCAGTCAAAGGATGAAGCGCAGGAAATACACTTTCGAGTGCAGCGATGGCACATCCTTCAGCGAAGAGGTTGAAAAGACCATCAAGTGTGGCTGTGTGGGGTGCATGTAGAACACAACCACTAGCATCACCGCCTCATCACAGTCTGACAGATCCGCAGAAAGAGCCATCACAATAAGTCAAAAGAAATAGATATCTTTCATTGGGTATACAGAGACATACCACCACTCTAACCCCCCACCCTTTTATATTTCCACCACAGCCTGAAACTTCTACCCCCGTTTTGTCCTTTCGTGAGGTCTCAGAATGGTAAATTAACAGCAACTCTGCTGAGAGGAAAGGCGAGCGAGGTGGCCCCTAGCTTGTTTCAGCCCAAAAGCAGGACAGTAGTCACCTATTAGAAGAAAATGATGGTCTTTTTGACTCTCTCTGCAGTGCAGGATGTGTATTTGAGCACATAAGACTCTGTAATGGTGATGAAAGGAACATTCACATTTCCACCATGCCTGAAAAAAACTATACGTATGCTATATCTGTGTGGAAGAATACATCCTCGGAGACATGCTGGTAAAATAGAACGTGTGAAACCAGATATGCATGGAACGACATGCTGTCTTACCAGATATTTCCAATCATTTTGTGTTATGGGTGGCACACGGGACTCTTCCATGTGTCCCTGCCCCAATTCCACTGCAAATATGGCATCCTTAATAAACTAGACGAATAAACTAGAAGAGCTCTGCGACGCTCCTGATGCCATAACATAGAGTTACATTGTTGGAGGGGAGCTTCTTTACAATATTTTCACTTTTGATAGATTGAGAAGAAAAGGAAAGTCAAGAAAAAGGATCCATTCGATCTATTCCATACAGTGTTTGTCACTCCATTACCTCAAACAGAGAACTCTACAGAATGTAAGGGAGAGCTAAAGTCAAGCGCTAGCTAGATCTCATCACACCGTTTTCTAAGATGCATGCTCGTTGTCATGTGATGTCTGGATTGTGGTTAATATTAGTACTGCTGAGCAGAAAATAGAACATCGCTTATCGAAACACTGCTAAATATGCAATGCCACTGCAGTTTTTATATTGGCCAGTGTTGAAACAGTTTGAGGGGTACAATATGACTATGGGTTATGACCACAACACTGTACACACCTCTTAGAAGTCACAATTCTCCCGTCTCCCGCTGACGTAACACTAACGATTTCCCAGAATCCACCATGTTCTCTTTTTGACTGCTACAGTATTACCTCTGCAAGCTACTGCGTTCATGAAGGTTTGCAAATGGCCACGAACATCATCCTAGGATTAAAACACAAAGAAGTGCAGTTTGGCTTATTTCTTTTCATTTGGGTGGGTGTTTGTTTTCGCTTTGATTTCCTTTTCCTAACTCCCTAGGACCTTCACTTTATACAGAATGCTTAACAGATTCTAATATATATTTGTATTTCATTTTGGTATAGTATTTTTATATGTTAAAGAATAAATTTGTGTTTTAGGGATTTTTGTGACTTTTGGTGTTTTATTCGGTCATTTAATTCACTTTGCTTATACAGGCTACAGTGGTTTGAAACTGGCCAAAAGCATAGATAATTATTAGCCTTATTGTAATAGGAGCCAGTGACGATTGTTTTGGAAGGTTTTTTTTTTTTAAATATTGTAAATGTTGTCTTCCATGTGAATACATTTAATTCATTTAAAATATCTTTGGGATTGATTTTGTAATTATTTATTTAAAATTTTTTCCAGAAAGCTGAAATTTCATTTAAGAGTACGCTGATTTTGAGTTGTGAATAAAGCCAGGAGAAAAAAAAGGTAATTGAGATAAAGCATTTAATAAGGGTAGTTACCATTCAGTCCTCATATTAAATAGCAAGTCAACAGCCCCAACCGCTACTAGCAGTTTCTGTGATTAAGCGCAGATGAAAATAAACTTCTTGCTTGCTATTTGAGAACACCTAGCAGTACTTTAACCCTCCATACATACATTGTACCACATGGTTGGTTTCTCCAAAATGTCAACCTGTTTTGTTACACTTTTGTGGATACTTATTGCTCTTATTGTACACTTGAGGTACTGGGAATGGAAGTTAATGTCAATGTCATCGCTTCAGTGCTGACGAATCATTAGAAAAGGTTACAGACTTTTCCTGTAGATTTCATGGGTCTGAGCTAACCTTGTGCCAGTCACAGCCATCGCATCATGAACTCAAGAACATTTATTGTGAAAGATACCGTCGCTGTTGCATATAGAACATTTAAGAGCTCTTGCTGTTTATTCTTCTGATGTTACGTTGATAGTTACACTGACTAACTGCAGTTACTCCGAATGTAAGTAGCGCCACCAAAATGTTTACTGAACTTCCTCCTTTTTCATTCATTAAAATGTGTGATTATATGTGTCTATGTCTGCTTTATCAAAACCACGTACATTTTTACGGTTTTAGGTTCTTGGCACATTCATGATCCAGCCAAAACAATAATTTCACTGATTCTTGAAGCTTGTCCAGACTACTCACCTCAGCTCCAAACATACCCCAACATTTGAAAACGCATCAACGACTGACAAAAGACAAAATGCATAAAACTCAAACCAAATTCGTTCACTTTTATAGATTTCCTACTTGAACAACTCAATCCATATAAATGAGGTATGGACTTCGGTCCTGGTGGTGGTTTAAGTAAACTACATTTCAAATGGCTTCAAAGCCAAAAAAGTAAAAACAAAATGTTAAAATATAGTTTTATATATTAAATGTGTGTCCCTAGAGCACAAAAGCAGTGTTGAGTCACTGGGGTATATTTGTAGCAATAGCCAACAATACATTGTATGGGTCAAAATTATCCATTTTTCTTTTATGCCAAAAACCATTAGGATATTAAGTAAAGATCATGTTCCATGAAGATATTTTGTAAATGTTTCTACCGTAAATATATTAAAACTTAATTAGTAATATGCATTGCTAAGAACTTCATTTGGACAACTTTAAAGATGATTTTCTCAATACTTAGATTTTTTTTGCACCCTCAGATTCCAGATTTTCTAATAGCTGTATCTCAGCCAGATATTGTGCTATCCTAACAAACCACACATCAATGGAAAAATTGACACTTACGACTGGTTTTGTGGTCCAGGATCACATTTATATAAAATAACAACAACATAAAGTTCATCTCTTATGGTTATCTCCAACTAGCCAAATCCACTGGACTTAAACATATTCCTGCTAATTTATCCAGTTTTAGAAAACCTGTCATCTCATATAATTTTTTTTTGTTGTAAAACTGCATCATATATACAGCTGTTTAAAAATGTTTTAGACCATAATGCATAATGACTCTTCTCTATAGAAAATCAATTTGAGAAACAAAAGTGATAGAAACTTCTGCATATGTTCCTATGTACATATCACCTGAAAAGGAAAAAAACAACACCACTGTATACATGTAGACAATGAAAATATTAACTAACAAAATTAAAAAGCTATTAAAAACAAGCTGTGATCTTATAAAGAAGTAGTTTGGGGCAAATTTCTCATCTATGTGCAAAAAGAATGAGGCTTTATTTCTTGAGGCAACCTCAATCACTTATAAATACAGATAAGAAAAAGGCACATTATTCAGGTTACAAAGCCACTTTTAATTAGCTAAAATTATTAATTGTTTAGAATCATTCCTTAAATAATATCTGGTTTAATAGTTCAAGCTGTTGTAAATAATAAGCTATTCAACATAACGGTCAAACAAACAAGTGAGTTGTTGGGTTATTTATGACCCAGGGGTATTAAACTCAATTCCTGGAGAGCCGGAGCCCTGGAGAGTTTTGATTAAACCCTAATTAAACACACCGGATCCAACTAATCAAGTCCTTCGGGCTTATTTGAAAACTCCGGCCCTTCAGGATTTGAGTTTGACAGCCCTGTTTATAACTCATTTAAAATTCCCCAAGGGAATCAGAACCTTTATTGAATTTTACATTAATGGCTCTATCAACAACAAAAAGTCTTTTTTTCATAAACAAATAGATTTTGTTAAAGCATAATTGGAACATGTTTGACACCGAAAAGAAATAACTCTGTGAAATGTCTTTGCCTGAACTACCTAACAATGACAAATCTCTCTCAGATGACAATAATTTCAAAGCTCCGAAAATGTACTGCCACGCTTAAAAAAATAGCTTCAAAAATCTTTTTTTTTTTTTTTGAAAGCATCAGCACCCCTTGTTCTTACGAAACATTTCTACATGAGGTTCTAGTACTAGTACACATTGTTCATGGTTTTGAAGTCCTAGTACGTTTTGTGGGAGTGACCAGAGGTTCCAAGCCTCGCTTTGTGGAGGATTTGGGAGAGGCAGTCTGTGAAGTGGTGCCTTCCATCTTTCTTTGAGACCTAGTTAACACTTGGTCTTCCAACATCAGAGGTTTAATGTCCACATCTAAAGATCGTGATTCTAAATTATTAGGGCCTTTTTGAAACACCAGTTTCTTTGTGTCAACTTTAGTCCCACTTGCTTTTATTTGCTGTGCCTTATCAGTTCCAGTTTTGATCAGTATCTGTTTTTTACTCGAGGTGTTTGCGGAGGCATTCTCGCCGATGCCTTTTGTCATTTTTGTGAGTGCCTTCAACCTCTTTGGAGAGGCATTGTCTTTGTGACACGGGTTCCTTTTCAACGCCCTTTGTTTGAGGGCAGAGTTTGTTTTTGCTGTCTTGGTCAGAGATGAGATCCTCTGAACCACAGACTTCGACCCTTTACATGTTGGCAGTTTTTGTTTGTTGGATTTCTTTGGAATTCTTGCCGACTTGAGATGAGCACCTTTGAAAGTTTTCTCTTTGCGTTTCTTGTTTTGCTGAACCTGAAGCTTCTCACGCATGTTGGAATATTTCCGAAGAATTCTAGCACTCGCTGGATTTTTCGCACTGCCTGCGGTCGGGGCAAGGCTCTCTGGAGCCTGTGCCGGCGTCACTCCAGCAAGACTCTGTGCCTTTGTACAGATCCGTGTGGCAGATGTCGGTTCATGCTTTTCTTTACTCCTCATCGCAGAAATACCCTGACCTAAAGCTTTGGAGAGTAGCCTTTGATTCTTGGGGTTGTTTTTCACCGGAGATGCAATAGCAAACTTTTTCAGGTGCTTCTTCAACCGTTCGGCCTGGAGGCTGGGAAATATCCCATGAGAGGACCCTGCTCCTGCTGCCGAAGTGTGAAAACACAACTGTGTTTCAGAAGGAAGTCTGGTGTTCACTTTCTTAACAATTACAAGTGATTTTGTTTCAGTTGACTGCAGGAACCACCTGCAGATACTGGGCAAATCAAAGGGCTTCATAAATAGCATTTGCACAGCGGATAGCTTTTGTTGTTCCAATGGCCTTGACTTTCGTACTCTGCGTTTGCTTTTCCATATTTCTTTAAGCCTGTCTGCCTTGTTTTTGGGTTTTGGTGCAGGCTGACCCTCCTTGTCCATTGGAACCCAACTTTTGTGCATTTTATCAAACTTTGCATTCAAATTTGAAATTAACTGCTGGTGTTCTTCCCCCCTTAGCGCCTCCAAAAATTTGGGGGGACTGCAAACAATAGGTTCAGTTGTCTGAAGACTAGCTAGGCGGAAGGCTTCATCTGGTAAACTCGATGAGCCTCTTATTTGGGCCTCCATATGCTTCTGATTTGGGATTTTAACTTTTGAACTCAAGGGGCTCTCTTCAGCTTCCCCACTTGAGGATGCTGAAACCCTTTGTTGTTTCAGAGGATGTTTATTTCTATTTGGAGTTGTTGTTGAGCCACATGACTTTTCAGTATTAGACACATTCCCTCCTCTCAACGACATGTGTCCAGGGCTCTCTGATGTATCTACGACAGCAGATTTGTTGTTGCGGGTTGTTGTTGCGGGTTCTGCAATTAAACTGGCACTGCTCCTTAAGGGCATGTGCCCATTGGCCTCGGTTTTTCTACAGGTAGCACTGGAGTGTGAATTGACAGGTTGTTCACCGAACCTTTTAATGGAACTTTTAACAGGAGAATCTTTAGTAACAGTCGGTTTAGAGCTAATAGTGCTACTTCGTAGAGGCATATACGTTACTGTCTCGGAAGATGTACACACTTCTCTATTAGCTGCCTGCTCACTAATAGAGCTGCTGCTTCTTAAATGCATCTGCCCTTGCTTCTCTGAATGGCCTTCTGTCGGACTGATCGACTTGCTACTTGGTGCTTCAGTGTTACTTCTGCTTCTCAAAAGCATATTTTCAGAACTTGGTGGGGACTTTTTGATGGGTGAACAGGGTTCGCTAACAGACAGCTCAACAGGACTACTTTTATTTCTAAGTGACATTTTTTCAGTGCTTTCAGAGGCTTGATTGTTCTGTTTGTGGTGTTTTCCACTCTCTGTAGTGGAGGAGGTGGTGCTTACAGTCTCTGGAAGAACCTCAGGTGACAAAACACTTGGCAAATCATTATTCACTTTGACACCTGAACTCGGATGCTCATCTCTACCAACAGCTGTTGCGGTTCTTGATTTTGGTCTTGTTTTGACTGTATGATCCACAACCAGACCGTTACAAGGTTTAGCAGCCGGGAGCTCCTGTGTTGTTTCAAGAATGTCAACAACTTTCAAATCAGGCTCCTGCTCAGTATGCACATTTGTTTCAGAAGAATTAGTCTTTGGGCTTTTATCATTGGCATGATCAACAAGTTCAGAAGCACCACACTTCATGGAGTCTTTCATTACGTCAACACTGCCTTTACTTCTATTACGCAAGCATCTGTCTGAGGACACTGCATGTTTTGCATTCAAAACTTTTGAAGTATGCAGATTCGATTCTTTCTCTTTACAATTGGCAAGCGTTTGTACAGGTGAGACTTCAGTAAGGCTGGACACCGCTGAATCCCCTTGATACTTCACTGGTAGTTCAGAAGAGTTCACTGTTTGGAGATTACTTTCAGTGTCATGCAAAACTTGCTCCTGAGCACCTCTATCCTCCTCAGTGTTTGCCTTTATTTCTGATGCCTCTGATTGTTCCTGGACATCTGCTGCAGTCTCGGCTTCTGTGGGTTTTTTTATTTCTCTCTCATTTCTCGGTTCCATGTCGACTTCATCAGCAGAGCACTCTTTGGCCATGTTAGGGGACACATGGCTCAGTGATGGCTCCAAAGATTTATTCTCACACTCAGCCTTTCTTTCTGAACCACATGCCACCTCTTCTGGCATGGGCCCAATTTGGGAGTCACATCCGTCTTTCTGTACAGTGAGTTCTGTTGTTTCGGTGGTTTCTTCTACCATGTCCATGCGTTTTTCTTGCACTACTGCATTCAGAGTACAACTGGGAGCTTCTGAGATCAAATCTAGTTGCATGGTTAATTCACTCTGTTTACCTGACGGTTCACTGAAAAGTTGGCCACTGCTTTCAATTTTCCCCATTAGACTGGTTTCAACCATCAGACCCAGACTAGTTACTTTTACGACATCTCCTGGCATTTCATTCTCCACTATCTGCTCCGATGGTAATTTTGGAATAACATTTTTCATGCAGTCGCCTGCAAAAGGTGTGTTTACAAGAGGAACACTGCCAGACTTAGAAAATACCTGCTTTGGAGTCAGTGAGGTGTGCATGTCTGGCATAAGAGCTGGACAATTCCCACTGCAATCACCTATAGGTTTACGAGCTAAGGTACGGACGGTTTTTAGTTCCAAGTACTCCTCCACATATCTGTGCCCTCTTGTGCTCTTCCGGGCATTTTGTCGTGGATGCAGTCGATTACGAGATTGAGGCTGACATTCTGTTATTGATTTTCTAATATAAACTAGGTCACAATGGCTCATTTCAGGATCATTTATGAGACAACTTAAAGAGCCATTCCTTTGCCTAAGACAAGAACCTTTTCTGCTTTTCCTGGCTGTTCTTGGGGATATTGGTAAAACAACATTCGATGTCTTTTGAATTGTGGAGGGCATTACAACAGCATCTTCATTTTGTGCAAAAGAGCACTTCTGTGCTAACGGGTCTGCATGCTCATTCTCCGCAGTACAAGTTGGCAAACATCGCTCAGCACTGCATAGACACTTCTTTACAGAATTGCTACTGGGAATTTGTTGACTGCTTGAACCCAACACTTTTTTTGCTCCCAGATTATCAGTAGTTGTCTTTGTCATGACCAGAAATTTTGTTGGAGGACTTACATTTCCACACTTAACACCTGTTCCACAAGATGAAGATGACAAAACTTCCATCTTGCCAAGGTCTACTTGTTTTACAGTCACTACACGGGCAGTACTGGAAACATCAGCCTTTAAAACCTCTGCAGTAGGCTTTTGACTGGTCCTGACAGATGACTCTTGAGTCTTACTAATGCTCACAGCAGCATCCACAGCGCATGATCTCTCAGACTGCTGAATCTCAGCCCTGGTTTCAAACGATGCATGACTGTAGCCGGTTGTCGCCTGCTTCTCAGACAAATCTGGAGTGAGTGCTTGGAAATGGTTGGAAACAGCCACAGTCTTGACTTCACTTTGTAAGAAGCCTAATGCTTCGACTATTTGGCGCTGGTGATGCAAACATAGCTTTGACATTAACTGTTCCAAAGTGGACACCGCCTGTAGATCTCTTACTTGGGCAAGACTCAGGTCGACAGAATCCCTGAAAGACCGGGCAAAAAATCAGACATATATAAACACTTTCTCAACTGCATACGAAAATACATGATTGGATGTGATAGGTCAGGGGTAGGCAAGTTCGGTCCTAGAGAGCCGCAGTCCTGCAGAGTTCAGCTCCAACCCTAATCAAACACACCTGAACAAGCTAATCAATGTCTTCAGGATTACTAAGGCTATAGGCAGGTGAGTTTTTTTTCAGGGTTGGAGCTGAACTCTGCAGGACT